TAGAAGATTGAAGTTGCTTGGCGGACGACAATCCGTGAGGTTCCTATGAAGTGTGGTAGTCTGAAAGGTTAAATGAAGATAGGCAGAAAGAACTATCTCATATTTTGTAAGGGGCGCAATCTGCCACGACAAGTATGCTTATAAAGGGCTATTTTTGGCGTCTAAAGCACCTTACCATACACTGAATGGGGATTGTGAGCTTTGACCCTCTTAACTCACGAAAAAGGAATGCTTGTATAGTGTGCTGTATCGAAATTTTATCTAAGCAGTGATTTCTAAGAAAAAAATCAGTGGCATCTCCAATGATAGCAGTTGATGAAGAGATGACCTCTTGATTGGATTGCCATAGTCCGATCAAGTAAGGGCCTCCTCTACAACGAAAAGAGTGTATTTTTCGAATTAACTATTGTTTTCGTGACTACCAGTAAATCAGTTATAAGATGTATTCACCCAATTTCGTTTAAAGTGATGAACGACTGGTAGAAGTAGAATTTTCCCACAAATAATATCGGTTGAGCTGACGTTTCCATTGAATTTTTAAATAGCCTTGCTTTCCCAAAAGTTGTTTTTACCAAGGGTGGACTGCAGTTTCAACCCCACATCGTTCTTATCAACCCCTCCAACGGGGGTCAAATCGTGACAGTGTAGAATGGGAGCTTGACACGCTAACCGATGCGAGGTCGAAACTGCATTCCACCCTGTATGAGAACAACTTTTGGGAAAGCAATGCTATGTAAAAATTCAATGAAAACGTCAGTCCAACTCATATTATTTGTAGGAAAATTCTACTTCTACCAGTCCTTTATCACCTAAAACGAAATTGGGTGAATACATCTTATAGCAAAAGAGTGTATACATAAAATTGGCCTGAAAAAAAGTTAGGTTTCAAGGAAGATTGGTCTATGATTGTTGAGGTTACTCCAAGTTCGAGTAAGGAAGAGCTTCAAGACGACGAGGGCGGATTTCTCGATGGGCTTTACTGGAAGATTCTTACTCCCGTTATCCTCAAAGCATTTTCCTTTGATTCCGGTGGACATGTGCTAAGCTTGGTTTCTCTTGGTCTTTATATCAACGTGTGAGGCTTTTGTGCGTCAAATAACGCTCATCATCAAATCAGAGTATTATTATTGCAACCATACTCAAACTAACGTAGAAATAAAACCCATCGCCTCATCCATAAATATTATATCTATACCATAAATCTGTTTATTTTGATGAGAGTAATGCAATGCTCTGATGATGTTTGTCATCTTTTGGATGAAAACTTAGCACATCTTTACAGAAATCGAAGGAGATTGCTTCGAGGACAGAGTCAGAGAGAATTCTAAACTAAAGCCAAGACGAACCCTCCATCGTCTTCTAGTGGGATCGACTTTTATATACCTCAACCACATAGTTTCACTACAAATGAAAGTAAGCTTATCAATTATTAAATTCCTGTATATTAAATGTATTCAGCCTAGTTCGTTTAATGTAATGAAGGTCTAGCAGTTGAATTTTATCACAATCATATGAGGAGGCCTTAAGTATCCACGACATTTTACATAGTCTTGCTTCCAAAAAAGGTATTCTCATCCAGGCTAGATTGAACTGCATTTTCGACCTCACCTAGGTCTCATCCTCACCCCACAACGTTACTCAAATCCGGGTTGTGTGGCATATAGTTTCGACACCTTGACCTCTATACCACACCGTCACAAGTGGCCTTGTGTCGCTCGTGCTGAAAGTCTTGAAAACTCACTTATAAAACAAAAAATAAGTTGTGTAGCCGATTGCTAGAGCAAATTCAATAATATCCCATCGACAGTCCCACTACAGAAAGTGATATGGAAAAACCCTAGCCTTTCTTGAAATTCAGGTCTGCCCTGTGACTCAAATACACTTTTTTCAGTGTATAAAGTGTCGAGACTATAAACTGGAGAACTGAAACCCGGATTCGAGTCTCGCCGTTAGTGCGAGGTCAAAATTCCCATCTAGTCTAGCCTGTATGAGTATACCTTTTGATAAGCAGGGTCATATAAAATTCAATAGAAACTTGAGGCCTACTCATAAAAATGTATGCAAATCCAACTACCATCTTAAATGAAATGGTATGAATACATCTCATATAGGTGATATAGCAGTATACTTAGAAGACTACTTATAAAAATAAAATTATTAGATTCCTGCACTTGATGCCTCGGTTTCAGAAATGTTCATTATCCGACTATAAAATCCGAGAGCTAGCGTAATTCCCAGCCTTGCTGAGGCTTTTTAGCTTAATAGAAGCATAAATGATGGGCCAAACAATCAATTCATGTACTGTGTGATGAAGCCCTTGTCATATAATAGTGAAAGCAATTCATCAAATTATACAACATTTAAAGAATTTGAGCTAACAGATAAGCAAAAGTCCTATGTAAGGCAAATGATATCTAAAAACGAAGATAAATCTGATTAAGATCATGTCAATTTATTCAGACGTGAATATGTGATAAGAACATACTTAATTAATACTTTATCGAAAAATCTGAGAATTTCAATACAAACGATTTCAATATTCTGACTTCACTTGTTCTAGTTTGTTGAGACAATTGGCCTGCATTTCGGAAAGAATCATAATTGAGAAATTAAAGATGACAATTAATAATTAGCGTTACTATATTTAATCAAGAATTTAAAAACTATAAGATGTGCCATCATCTCAAGCTTTAAAGTTATTAGCTAGGATATTTCATGTCATAAGTTCAATGCACTATTCTTCTTTTTCCTGAGAAGATTAAGGTAAATTTGCTAGGGAGAATTGCAACAAGAACTCTACTAAGGATATGATGGATCGTATATTTGAGGTTCCTATAATTAAATGAATGAAGGGTCTCCTGATGCAATGGAATTCAACATAGCTTTACCTACAAAACTTCTTTCTCATACTGGCTGGACAGCAATTTCTCTTCAGAATAAGTCTCCTCACTACGAACCTTTAACGAGATACGAGATACGTTTATGATGGTTACTAAAGTTGCCGCATTATGCCCACGGCTCCATTCAGAACCCAGTTAGGGAAACTGATAGGACCCAGGCGAGTTGCAAATTGCAGCCTTTCTGGAGGCAAGGTTGAGGGAGTTCGCCGGCATCAGGAGGCCTGATTATTTAATTGTGGAGAGTCCAAGCATCAATGCAAACTATGGTCTTAGGATAGATATAGTGATAATTTCGAGGCTTACCTGATGTGCAAAATGTATATATTTAAAAAGAAATTTCCTGATTTTCACAAATTAACTAAAGTAATAGCCTTAGTAATCACATTTATACACTATCAGTAGATCTTGGATAAGAACTTTAGTCATTCTAAAGCACTTAGTGATGACTTGCCCGATAAGTAAATTTCCAACAAGCAAATAAGTAGGCCTAAATATGTCAATGAAATTCACCTAGATCTTCAAGATGTTCTTTCAAATTTTGACGACAATCTAAGGCATACCCATTTGATTGTAGAGAATTTTACTATCAATTTAACCGACTAAGTGCGACTAAGGTTCTCAATTAAACCAATATCCAACTTTCATAAATTAAATTTTACGCGTAATAAACTCACCTGGTTATTGGAATGAGGTCATCTATGAGTATCTTGGCCTGTCCCAGGATTCCACTTCCTGTAAGCGTAACCTTAGAGCCCTCGGCCACTATGATTAGCACACGTGGACGTCCCTCCATCTGATTCCTTCCGCTCATGGCTAACTCACTTGCCCGGACTCGAATTGATAGGCCGTGGAGAGAAGAATTATACCTGGTCTCGTGAGAAGGGGCAGGCTCTATAAGTAAGTATTCACAAGACCCGGCCAGAAAGTCGAGTTTAGCGCCGTCGAAGGTGGTCACGTGATGGCCGAGGGCGTAGTGACAAAAGGCTGGGCAGGCCTTTTTGGTACAGGTCCAAACGGAGGCTTTGCAAGTGCTAGTGTGTATGCATGTTCGCAAGCACAAAACATGAATGTGTGTTGATATATGTATGTAAATTTAGGTATCTTCATGCGCTTATGCTTATGCATATTAATGTATTTTTCCATTCATGTGCGTATGTGTGTTTATGTACATGTGTGTGCGCGCATGTGCGTGGAAGAATATAAATTTAATCGTAGGAACATTTTGCTTAGTGAAAAGAGAAATAGACTTCTAATAGCCCCTAGTGGAATGCTTGTTGGGACTTCTCGATTTAAACAAGAAATACTATTGTGTTGGCTTGACCTTGTTTCCGCAACTTGGTTGGAGCGTCATGGAGACCTTTGGAAGGTACCTAGTCGCGTGTCCTCTGTCAGAGTATTCCTGATTTCCAGCCAATGGTCCAATGCTGAAAATCAGGAATACTCTGGCAGTGGACACGCGACTAGATACGTTCCACAAGGTCTTCTTGACGTTTCGACTAAGTTGCGAGCCAACATTATAAAGCTAAAGGAGACTGCAAACAAACACAAGGCCACACCATCTTGGTCTTCATATTTACGTAGAAATATTGTATTTGATACTGGTTTCAAAGCATATAATAGCAGTTAAATGAGATTTTTGAAAACATTTAGGACTGTAATATAAGCGATTTCCTGGGAAATGTTCACAAGTATTCTCGTGGGAAGTATGGCAAGTGCGGGATTACAAGCAAATGTAAAAAAGGAAGCCTAACACTGACAGAGTGTTGGTCTACAATGCAAA